AGGGTAGTATCTAGTCGAGCGCTCTCGACTAGAGTTTTCTTACTTGTTTTATTTATTTTTTTCTTAAGAGCAAAACTGACGCAAGGGTATCAACGGAGCAGCAACTCCACCTCCACCTCCACCTCCGCACCACTTGCACCACTATTGGACAATCCCCATCCAGTCGACCAACGGGTTTAGCATGTTGTTCACTTTGGCGTCTTGGCTCTGGTTTATTATCTAGCCACAGCCGATTGGCTACACACAAATTATGAGCAGAGATCTTGGCTCGCTTGGCACATTCGCACACAGGCCCTGACAGAAGTCGGTCCAGTTCCACTCGCAATCGCAATCAGAGTCTCAGTCTCAGTCTCAGTTTCAGTTTCAGTCTCAGCCTAGAAATGAAAGTCAACGCTTTATTGATCAGCATTGCAGTTGTATTGGCAACAGTTGCCGTCGGCCAGGTAACTGATTGTGCCCTTGGCTAAGCCAACTGAGCCTTCATATTGACAGCCTCCTTTCAGGTTAGCGCAAAGTTTACGTTACGCACGCACGAGGATGCGGTGCAGGCGCACGAAGAGTGCCAGGAGAAGTACAACGTGCCCGAGGACATTTACGAGCAGTACCTGAACTATGTGTTCCCAGAGCACCGTCGCACCGCCTGCTACGTGAAGTGCTTCGTGGAGAAGATGGGCCTGTTCGACGAGAAGAAGGGCTTCAATGAGAAGGCAATCGTTGCGCAATTCACCGCGCAGAACTTCAAGGATCTGGAGTCAGTGCGTCACGGCCTCGAGAAGTGCATCGATCACAATGAAGCCGAGTCCGATGCCTGCACCTGGGCCAATCGCGTCTTCTCCTGCTGGCTGCCCATCAACCGCCACGTCGTGCGCAAGATTTACAATTAAGCTCCAACCATTTATGTATGTGATAAATTCAAAATAAAATATTCATGCCCAAGTACAGCAGAAGCACAAAACTTAACCCAGTACGAACTGCTTCGGGTGGTTCATGCGGTTCAACTGCTCTGTGATACATTGAACCCGCGGATTAATCTCAGCTGCCTGATAAGCGGATGCCGCGAGTGCTCATGAGCTCAGCGCTTGTGTGCGGACAGCAGTTGAGATTGTGCAGTGCGAGTGTTGAGATGCGTCTGGCTGTCGGCTTATTGACCTTGTGGCTCGCGGTGGTGCGTCTGCACAGCATCAGTTAATGCCGCATCTTTTAAACACAACAATCCCGTCACATTTTGCAGGCTTTGGCCGATCTCACGGGCGATGCGCAGATTTTGGAGAAATGCCTGGGCAGCATCAGCAGCCCGGAGCGCATCGAGTCCGATCTGCGCAAGCTGGCGAAGTACGCGAGCTGGACCAGCGAGGAGGTGCCCTGCCTGATGCGCTGCCTGGCCAGCGAGAAGGGCTGGTTCGACATCGACGCTAACAAGTGGCACAAGCAGCGCGTGGCCGAGGAGCTGGGCGCCGACATCTACAACTACTGCCACTACGAGCTGCGGCGCAAGTCGCGCGACGCCTGCAGCTACGCCCACCGCGGCCTGCGCTGCCTCAAGCAGGCGGAGCTGCATGCGGGCAACAGCATCTCCACCCTGATGCAGTGCAGCGGCAAACTGAACGCCACCAATGTGCAGATGCTGCAGTACAGCACACTGAAGCCCAAGGAGTCCATCCCCTGTCTATTCCAGTGCTTCGCCGATGCCATGAGCTTCTACGACGAGGCGGGCAACTGGCGCCTGCTCAACTGGCAGCAGGCCTTCGGCCCCACCCACCAGGAGCACCAGCCCGACTACAGCCTGTGCCGCCTCTCCGACGAGCAGCGCAGCCAGGCCAGCAGCAAATGCGCCTGGATGTACGACGAATATCTCTGCTGGGAGCGACTCAATGGAAATCTCAATGGAACGAATCTAGTTTAGACACATTTTCGACTCTGACGGAACTTGCAGCTCAGGCATGAATCAAATTTTATTAGCCTTAAGCTGTGACTGCGTCACATGTCGAATCGTGCGTATTTTGTGTAAGACTATCGAGATATTCTCTTTTATTTTATAAATAGACTCAAACACCATTTCCTGCTGTTTCTATCTACTACATTCGTATGGCAAGTCGGCGATAATGTTCTTCGGGCTTTATCAGCGGGCAGCTGGAATCAGAAGAGAAATGCAATATACATATATTCTCTCATTTATATATACACATTTCTTGATTTTAACTATCCAATCGGTTATGTAGCTAAAGTAAAGTAAAGTTAGTCAAAGAGCACTTCCATCTAGACGGCCACCACAAAGCAGTTGAACTGCTGGTAAATGGTGGCGCAGGGATTGCGACTGCGACGCTGCGTACAGTTGCTTATGTGGGCGCCAGGGAGGGGCACGCCCAGCGATTGGCGCATGGCGGGTATGCGCCAGCGTCGGGTGCGCTCGTCGAAGAGCTGCATCTGTGAGATGAAGCAACGCGTGAAGCAGGGTATCGGCTCCGTCTGCGGAAAGTGGGCGTAGTCGGCCATGCGATTCCACTCGACCTGGTCCACCTGCTGCAAGCACTTCTTCATCGCCGACTTGGCAGTACGCGTGACATTCGGCATCTTTTCGATCAGTATGAACGGATCTTTCTCCAGCTGCAAGTAAACAACAACAGACACATGTAGTAGAGGCAACTCGAGTAGCCGCCGCTATCAGCCCAGCGGTCAGTGGCCCACGGTGCGGCTTATCGCACTCACGCTGACAATGCAGTGAAAGCCCGCATAGGCGTGCTCGCAGCTGCTCTCCTTCTGCTCAGGGCCCAGTTGAAGCCGCTCTTTGCACGCCTCGAAGACCGCGTCGCCAAAGTGCCGCCTGATGCGGCGCTCGTCGAAGCCCGCCTGATCGTGGTAGAACTCGAACATCTCGTTCAGGTAGCACTGCGTGAAGCAGGGCAACTCCTCGTAGTTCTCCGACCATTGCGTGTATCGCTCCAGGCGCTTCACATTTTCGTCATTGAGTCCGCCGTAGCTGCTCAGACACTTCTTTATGGCGCGTTGCTCTCCGTTCAGCAGGCCCCAGCTCGGCAGCTGAAAGCATGCAGAGAAAGAGTTTTATTAAATTCAACAGAGTAAGCAGAGGAAGCCCTATAGCTTTCCTTGATAGAGAGATTAAGTGATAAGAGAGTAAATATAACGCACATTCATATATAATTTTATATACAAGAACTCTTTACTAGCAATATTTTCAGATTATGTTGATCCTGACGACGTTATAAATTAAACAATCCTACAACCTTATAAGGCAACTCAAGCCTTCACGTTATATTGATATATCGATTCACAGATTTACAGCAGTTCTTCTTATCTCACTCTCTATCTGTGTCTATCTTCATCTCACATATTAATCAAACAACAATCCACTTCTACGCACTACACATCAGCCAATTCACTTCTCCAATTCTTACCACAGACAGGCACAGGCAAGTGGCAAGAAGCAGCAGACGCATGATCCCTTTAATGATTTCCAACACCCTCTAAGTACAAGCAAATACTGAAAAGCTGCCAAAAATGCGAGCAACTCAAATTCACAAATTTTAGTTGGTTCTATTGATAATCCGATTGGGACTACCTAAGGTTCATTCGAATGGGCTGATAAGGGGCAGACACTATCAGTGGCGCGTCAAATAGTTCAAGTGTAGAGCTGGCTTGTGCAAGAGTTAAGAGTTGTGCCATCTGAGAGATTCTCAGTGGGATTGCCAAAAGCAGCATTACGCGATGGGCGGGGCACACCTCAAACGGCTTACGCAATGGGCCCGACCCAGACCCGGCCCAAGCTAGTTGCATTTTTATTGATCAACACCTGCCAATGAGGTCACATACAAATCAACAACTTGGACTCTTTTTTTTTTTTCATTCGCTATGTTTGTGTGTGTGTTTGTGTGTGTATTTCTTCGACTGTTAATTGTTTTGATGTTTATTTGTTGGGTTTTGGCATTTTGCCTGGCCAGTTTTCAGGCATTTAATATTATTACAGAGCGTTGCTATTGCTGGTTGATGCGGTTGCCGTTGTGACTGTTTGTAAAGGAGCGACATCGTCCCACTTTACGCATATTTGAGCAACCGGATTTCTCGAGCTGTTGATGTTTCGCCAAAACATGTTTAACACGTCGCACAGTCACTTCTTTCTGCCCAACTGCGCACGAAAATCTTCATCTTCATCTTCGTCTCCAGCTTCAGCTTCAGCACCATCTTCAGCTCCATCTTCAACATCTTCATCATTATCATAATGCTTGTCATGATCATCTGCTTTATGTGCTACCGCGTCTCAAGTAATTGCAAGCGAAAAGTGGTTCTGCCATGCCGCAAAATATGAAATGAAATACAATGAAACCACAAGTGCCTCTGCCACAGTCCTGAATCAGTAGATCGCCAAGGCACGTTTATTTGCACACTGTGAGAAAATCATTTTGTCTGAATGAGGCTTGAACATTTTTTACTGCATTAAAAACTCAAAACTCTCACTCTTTCGATTGCCCCTGCTGAAGAGATTTCTGAATTGGAAGCATTTCAAAAATGCTCAACTTCAACTCGAGTTTATAGTCATAAAATGGCTTAAGGCAAAGCCAGATCAATAAATAAATAACCCACTCTATATAAAGGTATTATGAATGAATATACCATCTTTTTCTACCTTATCTTAAAAAGTATGTTTTCATAATTCAAAATAAAAATAAATTCTTATAATTTGCTCATATCGCTACTCATAATTTACCAAGCATATTTTTCAGTGTAAGAATTTGTAATTTGTAATTTATTTTCGTCTCCCATTTCTATTCTCTATTTCTGTCAGCTGCCAGATGAGCGCCCTGCCAAGACTCTGTTCAGCGCTCAGTTCTCAATTAGAGTTCTGTTAATTGGCTTTTTGTTAATTCATGATTCTGCTCAGTGTATTTTGTTATTCCACATGATTCCACAATTTCTTTCGCAGCTCTCGGCCGCTTCGCAATGACCTTGGCTTGTTTTTTCTTGCGTGTTTTTAGCCATTATAAATCCAGTTTGTTTTTATACCCTGAACCCATTGAAAATGGGAAATCAGGGTATAATGGTTTTGT